TCCTATCTATCCTATCTGTCCTATCCTATCTATCCTGTCTATCCTATCTATCTATCTATCTACCTATTTATTTTTCTATCTATTTATCTATCTATCGTTCTTTTGTTTTCCTTGATACCTGCATATATCTATATATATATATACATACACATGATACACCGTGCACACATGATCTACTTGGTCGTATATAATTGTAGCAGTTCTTTACTTTCAGAAGAGCGCATATCATACGCATAAGGTTGTGGAGTTGTGCGAGGTTTTTTTCATTCGATGTAGGTATGTTTTTCGTTCCGCGGTCAAGTTTCCTCATGGCTCAATATATGCTGCACTTTGCTTTGGCTCAAGCGCCTTTTGACTTCTGACTATCTCAAACAGGCGCAGGTAGTAAGGCACAATCCACAACATGCGGTGTGTATTCTTCTCATGCATCCTGCTTGCTTTCTGTCATTGGGCTGCCAGCATGTACAATCCCGGTGGAGTTCGGAGTTTCTCCAACTTTTTGGATGACACGTTCGACATGCACCAAGATGGGTGGGTGCGCTCCACTATTCATGCTGGCTGGCACGCAGGAGCCGGAGTGGCTGCATCTTTGAATGGAAACAAGGAAAACGCCCAGGAGGAATTTCATCGGGCAAAAGAGCAGTGGGACAGGGTTGACAACAACAAGTTCGGCAAGACGAAGGATGAATGATTCGTATTCTGAGCTCGGTGAAAGGTTGTCTTTGAAGTTTGCGGGCTGTAAAGTTGTATTGCCTGTTTTTTTGATTTGACTCTGAGCTTTTGTCAAGCGACATGGATGTGGCCAGTTTTTTTTTGCCGTCAAAAAGCGAGATTCGTGAGCAGCCATGCAATCATGTGGGTTGCAATTATTAATCTGGTTGGTGGTTTGGAACATGGCTTTTATTTTCCATTTCATATATGGGATGTCATCCTTCCCATTGACGAACTCATATTTTTGAAGATGGTTAGTGCACCACCAACCAGTTATTCACCTTATTATCCAAGACAATGGGTAAATCACCATTTTCAATGGGTAAATCCACTATTTCTATGGCAATTTTCTTCACAAGAATCGATCGTCTAAATCTATTGCTCTTAATGATGACTGTTCGATGTGGAATGTAGGACCTCGGAATCACAGGCGAACACTGGAAATCAACATGATCAGATGATACCCGGCCTGGTAAACGTTTACAAAACTATGGAGAATCACCATGCTATTAATGGGTAAATCCACTATAGATCACCATTTTCAATAGCTATGTTTGTTTACCAGATGATCCTATTCATATACCCACATACTAGTACATATCAGCATATGCCACTGCCACGGAACACACTGCTGGATTCATGTTTTCTGCCCGGGTTGTTGATGAACACCTACGTTACATAGCTGGTGGCAAGTCCAAAAAAATATATCCATATATGAATATATGATAATATATCTATATGCATCTAAATAATTGTGCGGATGAAATAGTTTATCAACATTTACCACCCTAATCCCAATTGCAATGTAAAGACTAAGAGTTTGGGATTTGTGTTACCTAAAGTATTGTTTTGATCATCTTGCATTTTGTGCTATATGCCCTTGCTCCTGTTATTGCGGTTTTACCCCACGAGTTTAAATTGCTTCAGGTTTCCCGTTTCCAGCGTTTGTGCCAACTCCTAGAACTCATAACAGACAGGTTTCATAACAACAAGTGTTTGTCCTTTGACGTATGTTTAGGGTGGTCCCGAAGTTGGAACAAGGGGATATTGCTCCAACACAAGTTACTGTACCTTTCAACAAAAACAAACAAATGGTCCAGTACAAGGGTTTCTTGAAGAGTGTTTATTACTGCCGGATGCATGTTTTTTTTTTTTTTAAAGGGAATAATACCAAGAGTGAATAAGAAGTATAGATGTTAATCCAAACAACTTGGTATTTCACAGGAAAGGAATGAACTTTGAGCCTTACCCCGGTGAGACCAGTTGGTTGCAGCCCGCCGCACCGAACCGAACACGCGGCACAGTTCATCACTGACCGCGCACAGCGCTTCTTGCAGATGCGTGAGGCGTTGGTTAGCGGGTGGCTGAAGCACGATTTTGAATTTATCAAACATATTCAAATGCGTGATAAGTAAGACACACACACACATATATATATATATTTAGTTGTGTATATATATACATAGTTATATAAGTTATATATATATATAATATAACTAATTTATTTATTTATTTAAGAAGAAATATTACAACAATCGTTCCCCCGTCATTATTTAATATACACCCCTCAAATGGCCTCATGGATCCCCAAAAGTAGATCCAATACTGAACCAGGACAATGTTTTTTTTTGGGAATTTATATTAGCAGGAAGAGAATTTGGGATATTCATCCAAGAAATACAGTGGCCTGGATTTATGAAATTTAAGGTATAGTAAAAAATGAGGATACACGTACATGGTTCAGAAATCGTCCTTACAATCGCCTGTGCCAGCAACAAAAGCGGTCGCAACGGCAAATGCGACTTGCTTGCACCCAAACCGAAATCCAGTCATAATCAGGAGATGTGCATTCAGACGATCTGAGTCTTGGGGTTTTGAACTCTGGAAAGCAAGCATGGCACCAAACCAAACAATCTGACACTTCCATATGATTCGCCAATTGAACACCTTCCTCGCTGTGTTGCTGTACAAGATGAGCAGCTACTGTAAGCACGCACAAATTCATGAATCTTTGAGACTCCATCTCTTAAGCCTTTCCGATCAATGTGGACCCAGCAAAAACTCAACAACATTGGTTCCTTGTTTTTGGGCTTCTCCATTTTTCACAAATCCCTGTGCCCTCTCCTCTTCCGGCACAGCCCCAACGGCCGTTCTCTGGGATGTGATGGTGGAAACCATGGCCCAAAACCATGGCCCACAGCCAGTCTCATAGGACCCCCATTTAACCCATTTCCTGGTGTACCTGAGCAACTCGATGAGTTTTTGACTATACATATGCTCCATTGGTACTGTATAGTATAGTGTATTTGTATACCAAAATTCACTCTCAAAATGGCCCAGTCATGTACGGAAGTTGCGCATATGCCACATGTATTAATAGTTCAAATTTACGGTCATGGTTACCCTCTGGTAAACTAACATAGCTATTGAAAATTGACATTTATAGTGAGTTTTCCCATTAAACATGGTGATTTTCCATAGTTATGTTAGTTTACCAGAGGGTAATAGTTCAAATTTACGGTCATGGTTACCCCAAAAGGGTCCATTTTTTTGAGGCAAATCTAGCAGCACCATGGAGCGCACCTTTGCCCCGGGCCAGGAATTGTGGACCGCAGCTTCGGAAGAAGCATCCCTTCTACGAACTTTCGAGGCGGACGCTGCTTTGAAAACGGGGGGATGCAACAGTTACCCTATCTGTTTTTTTTATTTTCCCCAATAGCTGGGATGGTGATCTAATCTGACTAATATTTTTCAGAGGGGTTGAAACCACCAACCAGCTATTGTAGTTTAACGCAGCCAGGAGAGTGACTGAAACTGACCATGTTTAATCGAGAACTACTCTATGACTGAATCGGTCATTTTCCATAGCTGTGTTAAATTACCATAGGGTATGATATGGTGATGGAGTGATGGGTTTCACAAAGTGGCAGTATTCTAAAGTTGGGTGGTTGACGAAGTTTACCCGTTTACTAAGAACGACAAGTAATTCAGCGTGGTTTCGAGAAAATAGTGATCCATCACATCACTGACATGCCATGATTTCCCCATCGAAATCCCCTCCACCCTCAACGTGGCCGCCAAGCGCGCCGCGTTGAGGCGCCGTTGCATCGCCACTACTTCCACCAGAAGGTTTTGAGTTCGGCGCAACTGGACGCCTGGCGACGCTTCTTGGACTTCGAGGAGTGCGGAAGCCTGGATGGTGACCGACGATGCCACGGGGCATGGCAATCATGGGCGCTGGAGACGGACTTTGCATGATTTTTGTTGGGGTTTGGGATTTGGCTTAACCTTGACTCAATCCACTAAGTAAAGATGTTGAAGACATAAGAATTGGGCGCAGTCAAAATCCCCACAACAGAGGGTGATTCGGAGTCGATGGGAATTCTTGCAATCTAGCCCCAACTGGAACATTTCTCCATGTCGAGAAGATGTTCCAAGTGAAAATGTGTAAGCATTGGAATTTTCAATTGCCATGTTTCAACTGTTTGACTTCCCTAAGCTACTACATCTGGGAGCTGGTTTGCCAACCTTACAGCATTTGAGACGAAGCCTGTTTAAGACCAAGCCTCGTAAATGCTGGTTTGGAGTGGGGGCCAAAACACTTTTTATTTCATCTATTTCAAGTTTAGGAATTACAGGTTCGTTTATCGCCCCTTAAATGGTAATTTGGGGGCCCTCGCCATGTATCCTATTGTTGCAGTGCTATGCTTCCTAAGATGGTTGATCTGGAGTTTGTTGCAAATATGTCTGTATCTCCCATTCTATCGCCATCGTATTATTATATTTCCACGTTACGCATGCATAAATTAAATAGATTGATGTCTACTACGGATGATTAAAGACTCCCATTTCTCTAATCTGCTTCACTCATTATTCCTTCGCCTTAGGTCACGCGAGCCTCGAGATTGGCGGCGATTGCAAGGGTTGTTTGAAAGATGTTTGGTGCGCCTGACATGTTTGGAGACTTCCAAAATGCAGGGCTTCCCACATTTTGGAACTGATTCTGCAATTTGACTACCATTATATAAATTATGTTGATTAGGTATAACGTGTGGAAAAACATACGAAACATGTATACTCATATGATACTCCCGATTCACGGTAAATATTGACTAGTTATAATCCCAAGTTATGTCGGATCAAGGTGGTTTTTTTTGGGCAAGTGACTTGGCTCAGGACTTATAGGATTTGGGCCGAGTAGGGCAATGATTGCAATATAATGGGAATATTCCTCTGGTAATAAACAGGTTTGTGTCATGGAACACCATCATTTTCCACGGCCAAAAATCATGGAACCGAAACGCCTACTTCGACGACTTCGCGAAGTGTCACAGACGACCGAAGATCACCGAAGACCGTGGCAGATCGTGGCGAACAATTACTTGGAATTTTGGCTGCGCTACGCCAGCGTGTTGGAACAAGCTGAGGTGCAGCGGGCGAACGGGCGAACGGGATCGAACGGGCACTAAAAAGATGTGAGGCTGTCTGAAAAGTATGGGAACACCACCCTTACTTGCAATGGTCGAGAACCTCAATCTCCCCAGTCAAAGTTGCATTTTTTTTTTTTGTGGGGGTATATCTAGCTTCAGACATACCCGAAAATTCCCGTATATATTATTGGCTAATTATTTCATTTATATACTGTGTAACTATATCCCTTTACATCCTCCAAACATATCCATGACTACTGCTCCAATAAACCTTGATGATTGAACATCACCATTTTTCATGGTGATTGGCGAAATGGTTATATCCCCATTATATACCATCAAATCTTCCATGTGTCTTCATTTGTATCCATTTGTTCTTGTTCAGGAATCTTGGCTAATGTGGTAAACCCTCTAAATCACATTAAATGGGTGGTAACCATATGTAACCATCCCCAGATTATATAGGTTTATATTGGGGTTTATATTTTATTGGGTTAAAGCTATATAAACCTATATAAACCTACCAATCATCTGGGGATGGTTACCACCCATTTATGGTGATCATGGGTGACCACCGTCTTCGGCAGGCGGCTCATGGCCAAAACAAGCCTGAGATCTCTTGCGGCTTGCTGCGAGGTGAGTTTTCAGGGATTGAGTTCGGCGAGCCAAAAGTCTAAGATATGTTATGATATGTTGATTTTTACATTATCCCCGTAATAGAATACATTATAATTATATATATATATACTGTGTATATATATATATATATCATGATATCATAGAATATATTAATTATCATATCATATTAATTAATGTTCATTACATTCTATGACCAAACTTGTAGATATAAGTATGTTCAAAGCCATTTTACTACCGACCTACATGATCCTTATGTATATTATATGGAGGTTTCCTAAAACGGAGGAACCCCTAAATCATCCAGGTGCCTGCCTGTCGGGCCGCCTCTCCCGACGGCCGGATGCGTTGGCGGCTTGGGCGGAGCTGGAGGAATCGCTCGAGTTCAAGGGATAGTGATGTGGGAAACAAGGTCAACGATACCAAAAACATTCTCATGGGAGTTGCAACGGGGCGAGTTTTGATGGGTTAGCCTCTTGCCCGGGGGTAAACATACAGAAATATGTGGAAAACCCATGGGGAACCCGGAAAGGAACATCATTGAGGAACATGATCCACATTTATGGTGGGGAAAACCGCATCTTTTTGCACGTTTACAGGGTTTTTACCACTATTGTAGGAAGATTCCACTTTTCTATCTTTTTGGAATTGCCAGGATCTATTTCAACCACATATATGGTATATTCATATAGAATGTTTTTTTTGTTTTGATGTGGTACTTTCGGTACTTTCCCACCAGCGGAAAGGATGGGGCTCGGCTCGGCTCTGCCATCTGCAGGAATCCTGCGGAAGGGTCGATCGTGCTCGAGTCTTGTTGGATGCCACGCTGAGCGGATGCGGTGTGATGTCCCAGCACTGCTTCGGCACAAAGGGCTAAAATGCTGTGGTGTGCATCCTATAGCAATGAATCTAGGGTGTATAGTATGTATACAAAACATATATGTATCTATATTATATATATATACATTATTAATTATACACACAGACACACTGTGTTTATGTTTACACATTTAGAATGCAGACAGTTCATGAACTCTTCCATGATGCAACTGATATGGCGAGCCCAGATGCTTGGCCCAACCCTGCCCAGGAATATCACGCACGCCCTGAATTGCAAATTCCCCTGGGACGTCAACCTCTCTGGGTGTTGGGAAGCGAATCCATAGATTGGTTGATTTATTGATATTGATAGTTGATTTAGATGGTGAATTGGATGTATGTTGTAATAAATTTAGATGCTATAATACATCCAATGACTAGGATATATAGTAGCGTCCAATTTGATTTTCATGGAAATTATTTAGTTGATTTATCCATAGATTGTACATAGACTTTCTGGCTGCATGTCTTTGCAGGTGAAAATAGTATCACTGGAGCCTCAAAAAACGTCCCTAAACGGATGAGCGAGCGAAATGGGCGATGATGTCTTCATCATCTTGGTGGATTCCACGATTTTTTCCAGTTTTTTGCCCAGTTTGATGATGAACACTATTCCACTTTTTATCATCTACCCTCTGGTAAATAAACATAGACCCTGAAAATCACCAATGTTTAATGGAAACTAGTCTTCCAACCCCTATCTGCCAGGGTCTATGTTTATTTACCAGAGGGTAATGGGAAATCCACTGAATAGCCATTAAACTATGGGAATCAACTATCCATTAAAAACTATTCCAAACGATTCCAAATGGGATTTTTGTTCCAGTTTGATTCCATTAAATCCCATGAAATCCTGAACATAGCCATGAAATCCCATGGAAATCCCATGGAAATCCCATGAAATCCCATGGAAATCCCATGGAAATCCCGATAAATCCCATTTTTTTTCGAAAAAAAAGATCGCTGCACGATGGATTCCAGGTCACGGGAGCAGCGACTTGGCTCTACGCCGTGCGTCTCTGGAGCTGCGACACCAGGAGTCGGAGAAGTCGATGAGTTGGGCAGCGAAATTTCCCATGGGGATTTAGGGGTTACTAAAACCTGGAGGATTATTCCAGTGAGTAAATATGTTTATCATAGCGGAGTCAATACATTCCGAATCATCCCCAAGAGATGTTTATTACTGGATATACCTCTTTGGTAAATTAACAGTTCGACCCTGAAAATGAGCAATTTATCGTGGTTTTACTAGTCTTCCAACCCCGACTCATGGCAGGGTCGTCATGTGAAATTTACTGGAGGGTAATTATTCCATTTAGTGGTGAGTAAACATACTTATAACCCAGTTATAACTTGGGATGATTTTTTATTGTCTATGCCACCCGCAAATCCAAGTACTGTGATAAATCCAATAATAAACCATACCATTAACATCCATTAACATCCATTAACCAAATCATCCCCAACGGAGGCATATCCAGTAATAGACCTCTCTTGGAGATGGTGGAATGTATTGGCTCCACTATGATCTATTCATTTGGGTTTCAGTCATGGGGGGTTATTTGATATGGGGGATCGAATTAGAATTGGGGTGAATTGGGTATTTGTATACCTTATACCGACCGCCCGAAAGATAGAATATTTTTCACTACCAGACACGCGAGTGAGAAAATTACCATCGGCCTCCCACTCAAAAAAAACACCACAAGATAGAATATTAATATAGAATATTCACAAATAGTCACAGAACACCCCCTTGAATATTCTATCTTGTCAATGTCGTGCATGCCTGTGCAGTAACCTTTGAAACTACTGATGATGTTTGAAGCAACAGGGTGCTATGGTGAAATGACGTTAAACAAATTCAGCTTTGGGATTGCCAACAACTCTGAATCCAACATGTTCCAATATGGGAACCCCCCTTGAATATTCTATCTTGTCAATTTCGTGCATGCCTGTGCAGAAAAGTTTGAAACTACTGATGAGTTTTTGAAGCAGAGCTGCTACTGTGAAATGATGTTAAACAAATTCTGCTTTGGGATTGCCAACAATTCTGAATCCAACATGTTCCAATATGGGAACACCCCCTTGAATATTCTATCTTGTCAATTTCGTGCATGCCTGTGCAGAAAACTTTGAAACTACTGATGAGTTTTTGAAGCAACAGGGTGCTACTGTGAAATGATGTTAAACAAATTCTGCTTTGGGATTGCCAACAATTCTGAATCCAACATGTTCCAAAATGGGAACACCCCCTTGAATATTCTATCTTGTCAATTTCGTGCATGCCGGTGCCCAAAACTACTGATGATTTTTGAAGCAACAGGACGCTAAGTCAACATGCCAAGTGGACTCCCTCCTGCCACGGTTATATATCTATATCTCTCTATATATCTCTATATAATATTTATATATATATATACATATCTTGGAAATCAACACGCAAGCATTTCCACGCAATGGAATGCTTCCAAATATTTAATTTGGAGCCATGTCACGCCAGGGTCTCGAAAATATTCTATCTTGTCCGTTTTCGTATTTTTGACCCTTATCAAAGCTCAAAGAATAACATTAAACAAAGCAATGAAAAACAATGAAAAATAATAAAAAATAGGAAACCACCAATGAAACATGATGAAAACGAGAAACAAAACAATGAAAAATGATGAACAAGAAAGGAAAAAACAATGAAACATTATGAAAAAGAGAGAACAAACAATGAAACATGATGAAAAAGAGAGAAAAAACAATGAAACATGATGAACAAGAGAGAAAAAAACAAGAACAAATGATGAAAAAGAGTGAATCAAACCATGAAACATGATGAAAAAGAGAGAAAACAACAATTAAAAATGATGAAAAATAGAGAAAAAGCAATGAAACATGACGAAAAGACCAAAAAAATCCAATGAAAAATAGAGAAACAACAATGACAACTGATGAAAAATAGAGAAAAAACAATGAACAATGATGAAAAAGGGAGAACAAACAATGAAACATGATGAAAAAGAGAGGAAACAAAATAAAAACTGATGAACATGAGAGAAAAAATCAAGAAACATGATGAAAAAGAGTGAAAAAACAATGAAACATGATGAACAAGAGAGAAAAACAAATGCAAAATGATGAACAAGAGAGAAAAAAACAATGAAAAAACACTGAAACATGATGAAAAAGAGAGGAAAAAACAATGAAAGATAAAGATCATGAAAACTGATGAAAAAGAGAAAAAACAAATGAAAAATGATGAAAAAGAAAAAAAACAATTAAACATGATGAAAGTGTTTTTTCATTGTTTTTTCTCTCTTTTTCATCATTGTTCATTGTTTTTTCTCTCGTTTTCATCATTTTTCATTGCTTTTTTTCTCTATGTTTATCATTTTTCATTGTTGTTTTCTCTATTTTTCATCCTGTTTCATTGTTTTGTCTTCTCTTTTTCATCATTCTTCATTGTTGTTTCTCTATTTTTCATGATGTTTCCTTATTTTCTCTCTCTTTTTCATCATTTTTATTTTTTTTTCACTTTTTTCTTGTTTGTTTCTCTCTTGTGCATCATGTTTCATTGTTTTTCCTCTATTATTCATCATGCTTCCTTGTTTTTTCCCTATTTTTCATTGTTTTTTTTAAATCTATATATGTTTCATCAATTTTCATTGTTGTTTCTCTATTTTTCATAATTTTTCATTGTTTTTCTCTCGTGTTCATCATTGTTCATTGTTTTTCCTCTATTTTTCATCATTCTTCATTGTTGTTTCTCTATATCATGTTTGCTAGTTGTTTCTCTCTTTTTCATTATGTTTCATTGTATTTTTTACTCTTTTTCATCATGTTTTCTTGTTTTTTCCCCTATTTTTCATTGTTTTTCATTGTTGTTCTTTCTTTTTCATCATTTTTCATTGTTTTTTCTCTCTTTTTCATCATTTTTCATTGTTGCTTCTCTCTTTTTCATCATGTTTCATTGTTTTGTCTCTCTTTTTCATCATTTTTCATTGTTGCTTCTCTCTTTTTCATCATGTTTCATTGTTTTGTCTCTCTTTTTCATCATTTTTCATTGTTGTTTTCTCTCTTTTTCATCAGTTTTCATTGTTTTTTTCTCTCTTTTTCATCATTTTCATTGTTGTTTTCTCGTTTTTTCATCATTGTTCAGTGTTTTTTTCCATCTTTTTCATCATGTTTCATTGTTGTTCCGTCTATTTTTCATAATGTTTCATTGTTTTTTTTCTCTCTGTTTCATCATTTTTCATTGTTTTTTCTCTCTCTTTCATCATTGTTCATTGTTTTTTCCTTTCTTGCTCATAATTTTTCATTGTTTTTTCTCTATGTTTCATATTTTTCATTGTTTTTTTCTCTCTTTTTCATCATTTGTCCTTGTTCTTTTTCTATCTGTTTCATCATGGTTGATTGTGTTTTTCTCTCTTTTTCATCATTTTTCATTGTTTTTCAATGCTTTTCAATTGTTTAATGTTATTCTTTGAGCTTTGATAAGGCTCAAAAATACGAAAACGGACAAGATAGAATATTTTCGAGACCCTGGTGTGACATGGCTCCAAATTATATATTTGGAAGCCTTCCATTGCGTGGATTTTTTTTCTGTATGTTTCATTGTTTTTGTTGAATTTTTCATATTTGTTTCATTGGTTTTCACTATTTTTCATTATTTTTTTCATTGTTGTTCATTGTTTTTCAATTGCTTAATCTTATTCTTTGATCTTTGATAAGGCTCAAAAATATGAAAACGGACAAGATGGAATATTTTCGAGACCCTGGCGTGACATTGCTCCAAATTATATATATAATACATTTGGAAGCCTTCCATTGCGTGGATATTTTTCCGTATGATTCATTGTTTTTGTCGTATTTTTCATATTCCTGGCGTATCAGATAAAACCAACAATGTTTGCTACGTAAATCCCAAAATATTCAGACTTGTTTCCACCACGTTTTGCGCTAAAACCGCAAATTGAGGGTGTGAGGTGCGACCACGCGGTGGACCGGCAACAGCTGTGAATTGCGGGTAGGCATGGCTCCAACTGACTTAAACCCAATAAAACCTATACAACCGCTATATATATATATGCACATAAGTATTGTGAAAATCAACACAAGAGCATTTCCACACACACAATGGAAAAAATCCAAGTAATTTGGAGCCATGTCACTCTAGGGTCTCGAAAAAATTCTATCTTGTCCGTTTTCATATTTTTGAGCCTTATCAAAGCTCAACCTATAACATTAAACAATTGAAAAGCAATGAAAAATAATGAAAAATAGTGAAAACCAAAAAAAAATATGAAAAATACAACAAAAACAATGAAACATACAGAAAAACATCCACGCAATGGAAGGCTTCCAAATATATAATTTGGAGCCATGTCACGCCAGGGTCTCGAAAATATTCTATCTTGTCCGTTTTCGTATTTTTGAGCCTTATCAAAGCTCAAAGAATCACATTAAACAATTGAAAAGCATTGAAAAACAATGAAAAATGATGAAAAATATGAAAAAAACAATCAAAAATGATGAAACAGATAGAAAAAGAACAAGGACAAATGATGAAAAAGAGAGAAAAAAACAATGAAAAATATGAAACATAGAGAAAAAACAATGAAAAATTATGAGCAAGAAAGGAAAAAACAATGAACATTGATGAAAGAGAGAGAAAAAACAATGAAAAATGATGAAACAGAGAGAAAAAAAAACAATGAAACATTATGAAAAATAGACGGAACAACAATGAAACATGATGAACAAGATGGAAAAAAACACTGAACAATGATGAAAAAACGAGAAAACAACAATGAAAAATGATGAAAAAGAGAGAAAAAACAATGAAAAATGCTGAAAAAGAGAGAAAACAACAATGAAACATGATGAAAAAGAAATTCAAAACAATGAAACATGATGAAAAAAGAGAAACACCAAAGAAAAAATGAAAAAACAATCAAAAAACAATGAAAACATACGAAAAAGAGCGGAAAAAACAATAAAAAATCATGAAAAAGAGAGGAAAAAACAATGAAAAATCATGAAAAAGAGAGAAACAACAATGAAAAATGATGAAAAAGAGAGAAACAACAATGAACAATGATGAAAAAGAGAGACAAAAACAATGAAAAATGATGAAAAAGAAAAACAAATACTGAAAAATAATGAAAAAATAGAGAAACAACAATGAAAAATGATTAAAAATAGAGGAAAAAGAATGAAAAATGATGAATAATAGGGAAACAACAATGAAAAATGATGAAAACTAGGGGAAAAATCAGGAAACATGTTGAAAAAACAGAGAAAAACAATGAACAATGATGAACAAGAGAGAAAAACAACAAGAAAACATGATGAAAAAAAGTGGAAAAAAACAATGAAACATGATGAAAAATAGAGAAAAACACTGAACAATGATGAAAAATAGAGAAACAATGAATAATAGGGGTCTGGAAGTAGGGTGACTGGATGAGTAAGTTTTGTACTGACTGATCTTTGGCTATAATTGTGGGTATTTACTGACCAGACAACGTATTTTGCAGGGTATTATCTAAGTTTGGTAGTGGGAGCTGTGACACTTACTACTATATATATATATATTGACCGGCTGAAAGATCGAATATTCTATCTTTTGATTATTTTAATTTCAGAATATTCTATCTTGTGGGTGCTAGACCCTGTGTTTTTTGATATTCTATCTTGTCCCGACTAAGAGTACAATATTCTATCTTTCAGGCGGTCGCTATATATATTTGATTTTTATACAAAAACACAGAGGTTTACATAGTTGGGGTTAATGGCAACTGGATAGTAACTGGGACGTAGTTTCCCTGCTCCATTGTAGGGGTAAATGTTGGTATTTATACCATAGATTGAGCATATGGGTTCGGATTTACGTGGATTCAAGACATGGAGGATTGTCGCAGCTAGAAGTTGTAGTGGATGTGCATCCCATGAATAGTAAGTGCTGCATAGTCCCACATGAAACAACACTTCAGAAGTAGATTATCACCATGTATGAGCCTGCTATAAACCGGCACATCCGAAGAGAAATTCTCAGTAACAGAAGGTTGTGCTAGAAAAGTGTGAATTTCATATAATTTGATTGAGTATATTGCGATAAAAAGGCAATAAAATCAATAAACATGTCACACACGGCTGTGGCGACCTGAAGCCAGGGTACATCAAGTTGACATTGTGCGTAAATATTAATTAATGTCTTCACATGGAGGGTTTCCTAAAATAGGGGCACCCCTAAATCATCAATTTTTAGCGGATTTTCCATTATAAACCATCTGTTTTGGGCCATTTCCTGGCGCCATGTTTCCACCGGAGGGTAGATTCCCGTTGTATCCCAATTATTATCGCATTATACCCCTACAACAACCATACCATATGAAAAACCATATCAATCCCTGTAAAACCACATAAAAAATCCATAAAAATCCCTAAGAATCATGATGAATCCCTATAAAACCACATAAACAAGAACCTATAAATCATTATAAATCCCTATAAAATCCCTATAAATCATGATAAATCCCTATAAAAATCTATAAAATCCCTATAAAATCCCTGGTTTCCCTCAGGACGCAGAATTGGCCGCCGTGCTCCTGGAGCGCTACGCCAACGATGCGGTGGATCTGGCGTCCAAAGCTGTGTTGAGCGGGGGATGCCCGGAAAAACGAGTCAAATCAGGCCAGTGCAGTAAATTCATGGGCTTTTTTTCGGGACTTTTCAAGGGATTTAGATGAATTCATATGGATTTTAGAGGGATTGTTTTTTTTTCCTAATTGGAATTTGTGGGGATTTATGTGGTTTTGTAGGGATAATAATGAGATAATCATTGGGATATAATGGGAATATACCATAATACCCTCGTATATGATGTGGCAGGAATCATTGAATCATTGAATCATGGCACGGATAGATGACGTGGTCTTCCGATTCTGATGCGTTCGGGGGAACAAGCGTAGAAGAATAGATGGGTCTGGAGCATCTCGGAGGCCCTTCTTTCATAGGGACAGGCTTTTGACCGATCACTAGTGGAAAGGTGCGAAGGAGGAATGGCTCCAGAATCTGCTGTAGATGATTGTATATATCTGTAAATGGATGCTTCCCCAAACCCCAAACCATCGTTTTTCCCTATTTCTTAAGAATGTCATAGAATATCCAATTTTGCATGGTTTTGGATCCCCCATTGCAGGAGACCTCCATATGCATCCATGCGGTGGATTAAACTATATTGTGGGATTTATCCAGTGCTAAACCATGACACCGAGATTAACATATGGTGGATATTTTGAATCCAAAACCCATCCCCCCAAAATCCATATGGAAAAGGGTAAATGATGGTGTTTGATTCCACAGTAGGAACGAACAGAAAGGAGCGCTCCTTCATGTCTATGTCTGGTTGGTGGTTTCAAACATTTTTTATTTTCCATAATATATGGATAATCCTTCCCATTGACTAATATTTTTCAAGATGGTTAAAACCACCAACCAGATGTCTTTATCCAAATCGACTGGTTTTGCCGAGCTGACCGCTGTCCAATCCTGTGCTTCCGGACCGAGATTGGTATTGCTCAAAACTGTGGTAACATTGGATTACCACAAATGGCTGAAGATTTATTGCTAGTTGGTGGTTTGGAACATTTTTTATTTTTCCATATACTGGGAATAATCATCCCAACTGACCAACATTTTTTAGAGGGGTTGAAACCACCAACCAGATTGACTTACCCTCTGGTAAGACAATATAGCATAGCATAGATAATTCTCGATGATATGGAACCATTGTTTAATACGGTAAATGATCCAACTAAATGGATCAAAACGGACCATTTTCATCCATGTTCCATAGCAAAGACTTCAATGCTTCAACAGGGTGAAGCATTGTACACCATCTATTTCGGGTGCACATCCCTTCGATTTTGTCCAATGTTGACACTACCGACTCCCCCAAATGAAGTCACATCGACGCCTCAAAGATATGGTGGTTTCCTGATTTATGGGGTACCCATAAATCATTCCTTTCATGGTATTTTCCATAGCAAAAAACCCATCCATTTGGGGGTACCCCTACCCCTATGGAAACCCTCATATAGGCCTTGGAGGGTACCCCTATGGAGACTCCTCTGCATCACCAAGGTCGGCGCTATGCACGGCTCTGCGAGGCTGCCTGTTTGATGCTGACTGCAAGGTATTTTGCAGTATTTTTCTTCATAGGATGAAGATAGGGATCGATAGGGATCGGTAGGGATTTATAGGGATTTTAGGGATTTTAGAGGGATGTATAGGAATTTACATCATGTTTTAAAGGGATAATCATGGGATAATGATTGGGATACAAATGGGAATATACCCTGCGGTGGAAAATCAAAAACCCCGAAGTAAATGGAGGTTTAAAACTGGGAAAAACCATGGGACATCCCGATGGGGATCCATGACTTGTAGAATTCATGACTATTAGCCATTTAGATCCATTTAATTAGTTTAAAATTCTATGGTTAAAGTATCATTGTCTTTTGTAATCTTACTATGTTAGGATATCATGTTTGAACAAAGTCACATGCAGATGGGTCAATATCTGTACAACCACCGGGCCTGTTTTTGCCAGGACAGATTGCATCAAGTGGACAAAGCGTGCCAGCCCGGAGACCAGGACATTTTGTAGTGAATCTTCAGAGGATATACCCTCTGGTAAACTAACATAACTATGGAAAATCACCATTTTTAATGGGAAAACTCAATATAAATCGCCATTTTCAATAGCTATGTTAAATTACCAGAGGGTAATGGGATTTTCCATGGGATTTAAGCATTAAACATGGTGGTATGATGGGGATTATTTCTTTCAGCCAGAGTGATTTTTTTCAGGGCTGTTGCCAAGTTTTTGATATACCCAAACTCTTGCGAGTTGTGGAATGGGCTTGCATTGCAGCTTGGCTGAGAAGAACATGTTTCTCAGAAACATTGGGCGCCAAATGGATAAGACTGAGGTACTTTATATATGCTGCCTTTCTTCCTCTGCAGGAAAGTAAGCTTGCACCATTCAAATACCAGAATGCTTATTCCAAGATGGAGCAGCTTCGATACTACGGAGGACATGAATTGATATGTTTACGACTGATACAATCACCACTAATCTTCCAACGAGCCAATTGTTGATACAGCTCCTCAAGTAGCATGGTTCACCCCATCTGTTGTACCAACCTGTAAGAAAATGGGCCTTATTTCTGTCATCAGATATGGGTCACAAAAACTCTGGCACAAAAAATGCTGGTTTGTTTAGGTTCAACGTACAGTACTTTATCAAAATGGCAACGTGGGCCCATACCGAAAGTTTCACCATTTGATTCATCCCCCATTGGGACCTGGGCTGGGTCTGCTGAGGTCGTTACTTTCGACATGGCAGGCGGGCTGTCGAGATGTGGGTCTCTTGTTGGAGCTTACGTCGGGCCCCTTGTTGGGCTTTCTGACCGTATGTTAGCAGGTTGCTGGTTGAAGTATGGAAACTGGGGATTTGGGCAGGAATGGATGTACATGGATGTACCCCGGCACTCAGGATTTTACTGATTCGAAGATGTTTTTCCCGACCCAGGTGAGGGTCTCTAACTCCGGATGCGGCCACGCCTGGACAGGAACATAGAATGTCAGAATAGATGCCAGAAAGACTGCCAGATAGAATGTCAGAACGTATGTCAGATAGAGTTCCAGAAAGAATGTTAGAATATATGCCAGAAAGAATGTCAGAATAGATGTCAGATAAAGTGCGAGAAAGACTGCCAGATAGAGTGTGAGAAAATAAGTCAGATAGAATGTCAGAGTATATGCCCGAAAGAATGTCAGAATATTATACATATACGTATATATATATATATACACATTATATGCCATATACACTTCCAGATGATATGTCAGAAACTATGTCAGAATGATGTGTGGGTGGGCTCACTCGTAGTAAGATATTTTTTCCAGCATCATCGTAGAACAGTATCTAGTAAGACAATCTGTTGATTCTTGTCTATATACAATTCATGTATATACAGTAATACACTACTATGCATGTATGTACTATGCATGTATGTACTATGCATGTATATACTATGCATGTATAGATATAGTCATAGAGCCATATGTAATTACACAGCATATACATATGGAAATTGAACAAAGATTATTTCTTTGATCTCCCTGCACCAGGAGTGGTGTATTTTGGGGCTTGATGAGGGTGTCTCAGACAGCGTGCAGACCCAGGTCCCTTCTGGTACGCTTCAGCCGTGGTGAACAGAAAGGATCAACAGGCAAGCCATGCTGAGGGGCCATGCCAGGGGGTTGGGCCACTGGGGAGATGTACAGCAGATTTGGGTGTTCCGGAGTGGCATTGATATAGTCCAGATAGATCACCTAGGAGCATACATTTGCATGTCCACTTCAGATTTTGGTTTATCTTACTGGTGCTAAACGCAGGGAATGAGGGAATGATCCACAATAACTATTAGTAATCATCCCAGCAACCCCCAGCAACCCATCCATTCCCTGCGTTTAGCACCAGCCTATTTCTGCCAAGCCAGAGATTTACTTCCAAAATGCCTCAAAACCATCCCAGGGTCCCAGAACCCCAGCAATCTGCAGCCGCTGGTTTTTCAGGTCTTCCGTTGCGGCAGAGCTGCTTGCTCTTTGAGGAGGACCTCCGGCAAGTCCGGCAAAATGGCCTGCCTGGGTAGGGATAGATACCCCAAAAATGGATGGTTTATAAGGGAAAATCCTATTAAAATGGATGATGACTGGGGGTACCCCCATTTTAGGACACCTCCATATATTTACCCTATGATTATTTAGCATAGCTATGGAAGCTCACCATTTTTATTGGGTAAATGCGGGTGTAAATCATCCGTACATGGATCATTTTCTATAGCTACGTTGAATCCTCAGAGGGTAAGGGATGAGGAATCAGAATGCCTTTTTTGTTTTTGCGATGGGTGGAAAATGCTTTTTTTTGGTCAGTTTTCCATCATAACATGAGGTGGTTTTCACCAAACCAGGAGCTGGAGCATACCCGAAGGGTTATCTCCCCGTTCTGTCAAACAATGGCCATCAGCACTGTGGCTCTTGTTCTGGGTCCTTTGGACCTTCACTGGCCGCCAAAAATCAGCATAGGAGGTGACCCAACATTATTTCGGATAGAATCCCCACTTCCCATATTTCAAAAAATGGCTTCAAAGGAAAAAACACACACAGAGATTTCAGATATTTTCACATCCTAGGTTGGTTCAGAGATTTTTTCGAGAATGTCAACCCCGTGTGCTAAATGTTTTTCAGAGTGGTGGCTTACCAGCATCACATGAGCAGTGTTCAGCAATTTTGGTTGACAACTCGTTCGAGGATTACATCATTACATCTCCACCCTTGGACAGGAAACTTTACAGTAATCCTATATACCCTCTGGTTATTTAACATAGCCATGGAAAATGGCCCATTTATAGATGGTTTACCTATGTTTACCTATTAAAAATGGTGATTTTCCATGGCAAACTGTTAGTCATAACCAGATGGTATAGGTTTTTGCTATAAATTAAATAGAACATCAACAGCCAGCAAAAGATCCCTATTTGTTTGTGAACCAAAGATTGACCATGATTCTACTCGCCAATCCTGTTCATCAATCCATTGAATCTCAATTCACCCAGGTGATCGATGGTAAATCCCCAATAAAAAATCGATGGTAAATCCCATGTAAAATCCCATGGAATTCACCATGAAATTAACCCATTGTTAAACCACACAAAATCACCATGAAATTCATGAAATCCCCATTGATAGTGGTTCAATCAGCATGTTCCTATGGTTTTCCCATGGTTTCGTGGGGTTTTTGGGGGTTTTGGTTTGCTCCAGGCCCTTCGTTGCCTGGCAAATGACGCCGGCGCGACGCCTTCGCTCGTGGAAGCGCCGCTGCCGGAGGCTGGTGAAGATCTGATATACGTTCGCCAAAGATGTAGCCATAAAGTAGCATGAACCACTATCAATGGGGATTTATAAAGTAATGTTCCAATGGTTGTTCAACCAGGTAGCATGAACCACTACCAATGGTTGTTCAACCAGTTGAGTTTCCTATTTTCTCGATTTTTTCTGGTTGGTGGTTTGGATCATTTTTTATTTTTCCATATAATTACTGGGAATAATAATCCCAACTGACTAATATGATTCAGAGGGGTTGAAACCACCAACCAGATAATATTTGAATGATGTGGGAAAAACCATGCTATAAACCATCCATTTGGGATTGGTAAACATACCACCTATAAGAATGGGTTGTTATTGGGCATGGTTTATGATTGTTTTACCCATGTGGGTATGGATCAATACCTATTAATACCATTTTTAGGGGAATGAACATCCATTTACCAGCTATTTTGGGGTTCACCAGGGGTACAAGGTTTTGACACACTGCCATGTGGAATCCATGTGGAGGCCTGTGAGCTTTGGTCCTGCTACGTGGATTTTCTCCTGGCGAATGGCGCTCCCTTGTCACAGCTCAGAGATGTGCAGGCGGCATCGATGTCGATGCTGTGTGGCGGAAGGACTGGTTGAACTTTGGATGTGAATCTGAAAGAGAGTACCCTCTGGTAATTTAACATAACTATGGAAAATCACAATTTTTCATGGGAAAATTCACTATAAATGGTGATTTTCCATAGTTATGTTAAATTACCAGAGAGTAGATTCCGGACCCATCGTTTCTTCCAGTGGGTTTGCTGATTTCAAGGCAAATTCACAGAGTTCCTGGTTTCAAACTGGGCCCCTCGAACCATCGAAAGGAGATAAGAAGCATCCTGGAGAGATCAACATAGACTAGTTATATACTGGTTGGTTCATAGGCATTCGCCTATTGGATCAGTAATATATTGGGATATATTGGGATAATCCCCTATTATATATAGTTGGTTGGTGGTAACATTTTTTTTCCACAATATATGGGATGTCATCCTTCCCATTGGAGAACTCATGTTTTTCAAGATGGTTATTGCACCACCAACCAGATAATATACCCTCTGATCTCTAGTTATTTAACATAGCCATGGGAAATGGCCCATTTACAGATGGCTTACCTATTAAAAATGGTGATTTTCCATGGCAAACTGTTAGTCATAACCAGATGGAAACTAGCAACGATCGGATCGACATGGTAAAAGATGTACCAGTTTCACATCCAATCATCAGAGATGATGCGCTACAGTGGACCAGGCACGTGCACGAGCTTTCCGCTCCCAGGTGCCGGGACTTTTGGCAGCCGTTGCGCCGTTGCTTTGATCGTGTTCGATAATGATTGAATAGATGTTTAATCTATGACAAGATATGCTTAACATATGTTTCAGGTGTACTCAATTATACATCCTATATTCCATGTATTTTATATATCACAGAACGCCACATCTTCGCACTTTTTTTTCGCTGCGCTGCATCCCCCGAAATCCATCCGTGCCGCTGGCCGCGTGTCAGGCCTCCGTGCGGAAAGCCGATGCAGAGAATAGGAAGCGAGGCGGATCCGGGATGGATCCGGGATGGATCGATGCAGATCTCGATGGATTGTGATGGGAAAATGCTGGGATTTTATGCTGGGATTTTTCATGAGGGTTTCTATAGTCCAAGAATGGTCATGGTTACATTAGGTTACATTATTTAAGCATTTTGCCAAGGACAATCAAAGATGTTTCATAATTAAAGCAGGTAGATCCTCATGTTTATGCTAGCGGGTGGAAAACCGCGCGCGTAGACGTGCTACTTTTTGAATATGGGGGTTGGGTGGGGTGGGGTGGGATATTAACGTTCATGTACCTTGCGTACATACGTGGATGCTACGCTGCTGCTACGTCACTGGTCAGGGGTTGGGTGGGGTGGGGTGGGATATTAACGTTCATGTACCTTGCGTGCATACGTCGATGCTACGCTGCTGCTACGTCACGGGGTGGGATATTAACGTTCATGTACCGTGCGTACATACGTGGATGCTACGCTGCTGCTACGTCACTGGTCAGGGAAAACTTGCTAGTGCACACCGGTGGCATCGATGGAATGTGGAAAATTTCCAAAGGTGCAGTATCATCCTCTTGGAGCACACGTAAAGATGGTGCTGTGAACCCTCAATTGCTTCAAGGAATAAGGATTTGGCAATGGCGATGGCACCATGGAAATTCCACTGACTTCCTCAGTCTCACAGGCCGCGCTCTGAGCAAACGCTTGGAGAAGTGACACGCCAGCGAAGAACAAGGAAAAGGCTTCCACCCCGCCACAACCACAAAACCCTGTAAATACGTCGACATTCCTTCAAAGTCATTCAATTTTCCCCGGGAAAATTTAAGGTAATGTGCATCATAAAATGTGTACGACGCCACAGCGCCAGAAGAGTTTCTTTTCAAAAAGTGCTTAACCGCTAGCGCGGTTTCCCACCCGCCGGGATGTTTATCATCAAACTAAAAAGGAGCATGGCTTCCATAGCTATATATTGTATATGTTAAATGACCAGAGAGTATTGTGAGTACCCTGTTTTTCCCCACTTGCCAGGTGAGGGTCTCTAGATTTTATCAGAGTTGCTTCCTCCTCCTCCTCCTCCTTCTCTTTCTTCTCCTTCTCCTCTGGCAGCCTCGGATCTCAATGTTAGTGGACACTGCCGGACCTCAACGGCGAGCGCCAGAGCTCAGTGGCTGCCAGACCTCAACTGCGAGAGCCAGATCTCAGCGGGCACTGCGGGACCTCAATTGCGAGTGCAAGATGTCACATAGAATGTTAGATAGAATAGAATGCCAAATAGAATGCCAAATAGAATGCCAGATAGAATGCCAAATGGAATGCCAGTTAGAATGCCAGATAGAGAATGTCAGATAGAGAATGCCAGATAGATCAGATAGAGAATGTCAGATAGAATAGAATGCCAGATAGAATGCCAAATGGAATGCCAGTTAGAATGCCAGATAGAGTGCCACATAGAATGCCAAATGGAATGCCAGTTAGAATGCCAGATAGAGAATGTCAGAATGAATGCCTAAAAAGATGCAAGATAAAATGTCAGAATATATGCCATACATACTTCCAGATGGTATGTCAGGAACTATGTCAGAATAGTGTGTAGCGTCGGGATCACTCGAAGAAAGTAATTTTGTGATATATGTACAGTAGGTATCTCCCAGGGTTATAGCCAGCAACAATAAGTAGGGATTTATGGACGTCATTGGGATAATGATTGGAAATAATGGGCTATTTTCTGGCAATCTATTAATAACAGGTTGCGTCATGGAAATCACAATTTTTAAAAATTGTAAACCATCGCGCTAAATATGCCATGGTTTCCACAGCAAACTGTTAAATTACCAAAGGGTATGTGAGCGTTACAGTACATGATTTTTGTTGATACCCTCTGGTATTTTTTGCACATGGCTAAATGGAAACTCTGAATTTTTCATTGGTCAAGAACATGGGATAAACATCGAACAGCATATTCCAGAAATAATCACATGATATTTGGTTGGTGGTTTGGAACAATTTTTTTCCATTCAGTTGGGAATTTCATCATCCCAACTGACGAACTCCATCATTTTTCAGAGGGGTAGGTATACCACCAACCAGCAGTGATTGGCAAGTCTTTTGCAGTTGGACGAGGGCAGCCGCTGGGTTCTGTTGGGTTCGGCCTGGGCGGGGGTTCGATGGGTTCGATTTCGGTGAGTTTTGGTGGTCAAATGGCTGGAAATCGATAACCATATATAATCTGACCGGTTTCCGTGCTTGTTCTTGCAAATTGCCAGTGTTTTTTTTTACCCCTATCATTTGCAACTACTTGGGATCATGCAAACGGAGGACCACCGGCAATGGAGGACTGCAGCCACTAAGAATCCACCCGGTCCATCATTCCTAATCATGGGAAAAAACATGGAAAAACAAGAAATAGGAATGATTCACAAGAATGATGCCACATTCATTGCATTCATAACGTGGCATCATAACATGGATTGCCATGGCAATGTTAGTTTACCAGGAATGATGCCACAATTCCATGCCACATTTCCCCATTGGGGGATAGGACATTTTCTTCTTACTGATGGTGACCATATTCCAACTTACTGGTGCTTAATTCGTAGGGAATGGATGGGTTGCTGGGGGTTGCTGGGGGTTGCTGGGATGATTATTACTAGTGATTATGGATCATTCCCGAAAATTCCCTGCGTTTAGCACCAGTAAGCCAATCATGTCTAGATTTGGCACAGCCCTATTCCAACAATTTCTTGACAAGGCAGCCGCCTAGTCACTGCCAGCCTAGCTCATACGCTCTGCAGGTTTGCCTGGTCCGACCGCAAGTTGCAAGCAGGTGACTCTGGGATGGAGCACTGTGATTTGATGGCAGTTTAACAAGCAAACATGGCGATTTAACCAGCAAGAGTTGAGATTTACCATCTGGTTATTTGTTACATAGCCATGGAAAATCACCATTTTCAATAGGTAAATCATCATAAATCACCAGAGGGTAATCAGCAAACATGGCATTTTTGTCACGATTGGATTGGAATTTACCCAGCAAATCCCAGCAAGAAATTGGGCCAAATCATCAGCAAAATTCGGTTTACATCCCTGAAAATCAGGATAGCCTTTGGTTATGACTAACAGTTCGCCATGGTTTTTCGATGGCCCATAGAAATAGATGGTTTACCGTTCTTAATAGCATGGTGATTTTCCATATTATGTTAGATAACCAGATGGTATATGGAATCCCAAAAACTCGGTTCTGAAGTTTAACGTTTGATTTTACACAATTGTCCTGCTCTGCTTAACTGTTAATGCTTGATTGAGATTCACATTCAATTTATGGCGGGTAAATACAGGGGCATTATATTCCCGGGTTTCAAGTTGAACTCCCAAAGTTGTTTGAGAATATACACGTGTATATATATATATACATATATTTGAATATATATATATATAAATAAATATACATATATATATATAAATATATATAATTATATATAATATAAATGAATAGAACGATTAAGTAGCTATGACATCACAAATATTTGCGGCTGCTCCAAACAACAAACAGAAACGCACAAAATCAGAGCGAATCCTACCTTATGTGAAAACCTATCATAATTAATCGATTAGTATCGATTATAATTATTGATATACGAAGAGTTTGCACTAGTCAGATTGGCTTGCATGTTTGTTTCCAAGCTCAAGGGCTGTTGGGATGGGTATATCCTTCCTGGTGTATGGATACAACTCTTTTCGGTTCACTATGCTCATGTTTGATCTTTGACTTGGCCCCCACCCACCACGCGTGGCTCGTACGGTCAAGAGGGGAACCTCCAGTGCAACAGTGGCAGCGCGGGTTGAATAGCTTCTGTCTTCAAGTAAAAAACACATTCCGTAGGTAC